GCAGGCACGCGCCGCTGTTTACATCCCAGATCTTGACTGTATTGTCATAGGACGCCGACGCTAGCCGTGTTGAGTCGTGAGAGAAGGCCACTGACAGGATTGAATTGCTATGGCCCTTAAGCGTCTGCAGGCACGCGCCGCTGTTTGCATCCCAGATCTTGACTGTTTTGTTATAGGATGCCAACACCAGCCGTGTTAAGTCGTAAGAGAAGGCCGCTGACTCAACCCGTAAGCTATGGCCCTCAAGCGTCTGCAGGCATGCGCCCCATTCGTCTTCTATAGCCGGCTTTATTGTAATCCACCTTGGCTCTTCCTTCTTAAAGAGGCCCCTTATTAGGCTGGAAGCTGGGCTAAAGACAAGTGCAGACGCATATGCCTGCAGAGGACTGTTTTCTATTGCCCACTTGTGATACATGATAAATCGATGTGCATCTTGAACAAGTTTAGTTAATGCACATGCATTTGCTCTTTCCTAGGCTGTGTTAGTATATACTAAATAGAGGTAGCATTTGCAATTTAAGAGCTACCTGGACTAAAGCCCCAAGTTTCGCTATTGAAACTACCCCCTCTGGTATGCTTTTGCACAGGCTAAGAGCCTCGAGCCAGTAAAGGTATTTGTCCCTTATAAATCTGTCGACAATGCCTTCATCTTGCAGGTTGATCCTGTGATTTGCAGACGAGTTGGGATTCCAGTCATGAAGGTGATCTACCCAGTAGATACACGAGTAGCGCGATGCTGCTAAGGGGTCTGGATCTGGCTGTGTAACCTGCTTAGCAGGATATCCTAATGAACCTAGGTTGTACATGTCTCGTTGTAGTGTTTTGGACATGACTTGGAGAGACCTTAAGAAGATTGTGTGGTGGACCTCTTCCCTCCCAGACGGAAAGACTATATTGAATGCCTTTGCGAATAGAAAGTCTTTTGCAGACTGATGTACAAAATAAATAGTATCTTCTTGAACAGTAAGGAACGAGCCACAAAGGCTAATAATCTCCCGTATTGATAGTAGATCGTTGGCCATATTGTCGAGCATCTCGACAAGTGATGTCAGCTCTTTTAGTGTGACGGGTCGGTATACAGTCGAAATTAGGGCAAGTATCTGCTTGCAGAGGTCAACATCTTCTGAGTTGCATGTTTGCTCTATCATTCGCTCGTAAAGACGATCGAGTCCAGGTGGAAACGCGCTTAGTTTAGCAAGGGCCTTCCATCGTGGGATCTTCTCAAGGTTTTGACAGACCAAAGCTACCCAGAGGAAGGTGTCATTCGCATGCAAAGATAGATGGCTCAGTACTGCCTCTCGTGTTTTGTTGTCGTATCCCTTTAGCTCTGCCAGCTGAGATACTTTATGCTGGATAAATATTCCAACAGCTGTGGAAACAGACTCTGCGTTGAGCTCGAGGCATAGCCTCACCTTATGCCCCGCCCTCTCTAGCCGCTCCTCAATGCCAGGCCAGTTGCGGCTGGAGACGATCCACTTAACTCGAGATGACACAGGGGATATCTGGACGATCAAGTATAGCAGTTTGGGTAAATCTACTACGCATTCGTCAAGCGCATCGACAAGTAGGTAGGTATTGTTCAGGTTTGGGTCCTGCAGGATGCTGGTAAAGATCTCAGACAGGGCAGCCCAGGCATTCGTATCCTCAAAGAGCGCTTTTCCTGCGTGGTCGTGCTTCTTTCGTATATGCGAGACGAGCGATGGTTGCTGATTAATAAGCAAGTATAGCAGCCCTCGCAGCACGGCCGTGGCGTTGTTGATTCGCGAATCCGTGGCCTGGCAGAAGAAGTAGGACAGGATATCTGTCTTAGCCATCGACTTCGTGAGCTCATTGACAATGCCGCAAAGCAGCATCGTCTTACCCTTGCCGGGATCGCCCTTAATCCACAGCAGTCTGCTCCGCTGGTCGTCACGCCATTGTTGGAAGTCGGAGTTTTCGAGAATCCAGCAATAAGCGCCCTTTAGCAGTCCGCCTTTAGTGTCTTCAATGCGCTTCTTATCATCACCGGGATCAGTAACGCGCAAGTGTTGGATGCATTCCTTGTCTTCTTTCTTGCTGTCAGGTCCGGGAGATGGCACTACTAAAGTTATTATCTGAAAAGCTTAAATAAATGAGACTGATATATTGTCGCTTGATGTTATAGAAACAATAAGTGCGAATGCTACGTACGGAAACGAGCTTCAACTACGTCTGGAGCATCACGCTCAAATTGTAACAACTTGTCCCGCGCGCTAGTATACCCTCGGTCCCACTTAGCATCAAACTTAACAATCATCGAATGGTCTGCGTCTAGGGGGATCTTGTCCTCTATAGAGTCCGGCAGCTGGAGAAGAGCAGAGTCGGTATCCACAGCCGTAACGAAGCTGCCTGTCCGCTTCCAGCATTTGCTTTCGCTGTCCTGTCACATACTGTCAGCAGGCTGCTATGGTTTAATAGGCTCCTAGGATTATACCCATTCAAGCTGCCTGGTCTGTCCCGTCTCATAGAAACTTACGACCTTTCGGTCCCGGATAAGATTCTTGAAATCCACCAGCTGATCCGCGAGCAAACTAGACTTGGATCGGATCTGCTCCAGCAGCGCGCCTCGCGGATGCTTGTCCTGTCCAGCCAGCATCTTCTGGATATCGTCTACCACTAGGCCCTTATGCGGGATCCCGAACAGAAGCATGCCGTATGTAGCTTTGTAGAGAGACGCTATTGTTGGGTGGTCGTTTTCGTGTGTCTGCACTGCCTTGACCAGGCACTGTGCCGCTGTTTAGCCTCGGGCATACATAAGTCCTAGCAGACGACCTACATGAGCTAGTATAATACCGCCAAAGCTGTGCGCGATAAAGAACAGCGGCCGCTTTCTTAGCTAGCGCGTTAAGCCGTTAGTTTCATATTCCCGCTTTTATGGCAGCATGTTGCTATAGGCCTACCTCCTCTGTGTTCCTAACCTTCTTAAGCTCCTCCATTAGTTCCCGGCTGTAGTCCATAATTGTGTTAATCCCATAGCTCGACAGCTTCGAGTTGTAGCCGTAGATCATTGTGCGGCAGTGTGGCAGGTCCTTGGACACGAAGTCGCGCAGCCACATGCGCCCAAGGTTTCCCTTTCCCCTCCATGAGCCGTATGCGTGTCCGTCAAGGCCCGTGATAGCGATAATACTGCGCAGCAGGTTAGAGACAACAGACATGGTTCCCTTGCAGGGGAAATGATACTTACTCGGCAGTGACTGGCGAGTCTGCCTTTGGCGTGTACAGCTGCGTGAACCCGAAAAAGTGCTGGTCGAAGTTGATGTCCTCGTCGCCCGTCTCAACCTGCCAGTCGCCCAGCGGGTTGTCCTTCAGGTCGGACAGGAATGCAGGCACTCCGCCGTGGAACTCGACCAGCGCAACTTTTTCCTTATTGTCGTAGCAAGAGCGCACAATAGCCGCGTGAAAAGTTGGCTTCGATTGCTCATCCTCTGCTAGGTTGTCGATGGCAGCCTTCAGCCACGTAGCCAGCTCGTCGTCGGGCTGCGAGGCTGGCAGGCCTGTGACGCGGAAGACGGGGCCCTTCCTCCTAGCGGCCATGCCGGTGAGGGGGTCTAGGTGTGAACAATCAAGTCGGTGAGCGGAAGGTCAGTTGCATTATGGAGCTGGAGGCGGCGGACGCGGCTATGCTGGTCTGTAGGCAAGGCTGAGCGCAGGATTAGCCGTGGGCAGCGTTGAGGCCTGGCCGCTTATCTATCGATAGCGACCGCACGTGCCATAGAATTCCAGCATTGGCCCGTGCTGCCAACGAGACCACCTGTTTCCCATCTCCATTATCCAGTGTGTCGGCGCCCGATACATCGGAACTTAATATATCTACGAAGCAGTATTATCTCGCGTATACCATACAACCAGGGCCAACCGCTTTGCCATTCGTCTTCGTTTGTTATATTTGACAAAACACCTGGCTAAGGCTCCTCTTCAAATGGTCAAACACATCCGTGTTTTTGACCCAATACTGTTTGCTGCTAAGTAATCCGCAATGGATAGAGGGACACGAAAGTCAGTAAAGCAAGGGAGCATGTAATCAGCTTAGACTAACACTCATACTAGTGATTCATCTGCGAAAAAGCTTACACCACTGGTATCGAAAACCAACCCGCTTGACCCCGCCGCTTCAACATTGCACAACCGTAGAGCCTTGTATCCCGCAATAACCTTTAAAGGGGGCAAAGTGTTGCGACCAAATAGAGAGCCATGGACTTCTCTAGCCCTCGAGTTGAAGACACCAAGACTCAATGATATTCATCAGCACCTTTGGCTTGCAGGCCTCCCGGCTGCTGCACGGCCTTTGCACAGGCAAAAGCTGCTAGGACGCAACATCCTAGTTACTGAAGATCCAGATGAGCATCTTGTATGGTTTGAATTGGATATTTTCATCAAACCTTTGCCCGATTTCCTTCTTGACTGGAATTTCTGGAACGACAGTTTATGCCTGGATCAAGGGTTGCATGAAGCCGCATGCGGCTTGCTATTGTCCTATGCATGGCTTGTACGGCACAAAAGCGACCTCGATATCGCAAAAGAATTAGGTCTGTTATCGAAGAATATGGAATGGTCTAAGTGGGTTGAGTTCATAGATACCTTTCTGGACAACATCAACTGCGAGACCATGAGCGACGTCAACAAACGGTATAAATATGGAGAACTGCGATTAAGTCGGCTTAATGCTATATACAGGCTTGCTCCACCTACGTATTCTCTTCGTAATCTTGTTCGAGGATATCAAAGCGGATCGACCTGGTACAGAGCCTTCTTTGAGCGCCACTTTAAATGGATACTGGCGGGTTTTGCTATTGTCTCTGTCCTCCTGTCGGCGCTACAGGTGGGCCTTGCAACCTCGATGTTACAAAGCAATGGATCATTCCAAAGTGCCTCATACGGATTTACTATAGCCTACTTAGTAGCCGTGGTGACGAGTGTGATTGTGGTCTTTTTGGTATGGCTGGGGTTGTTTTGTTATCACTTGTTAGTTACTTGGCGGAATGACAGAGCGGTAAACTGTAGGAGGCTGGCTGGAGTGTCCTTTCCATAATCAAATTCTCGAAATTTTAGCTAGTATACTGGTATTCTAGGTAGCTTGTGTAGTGATATTTTCTATCAGGTGACGAGCCAACGTGCGAGCCATAAGGCTCGTACGGGCGCCCACGGGGCGATGGCCGGCACCTGGCAGTGCAACTAGTATTTATATTATTCTACACAGCTCGATTGGCGTTCCGCCAATCACTCGCTTACCTTTTAGTTTGTGCTGGCGCAGTGGTGTAGAGCTTCGCCCTCACATTTTCCCCCTTCTTATTTTCTTTTTAGTCTCTATTTCATAGAGAGGGCCGGGGATTAACCTGCATGTTCTAATAGGGCCAGTGATCTTATTAGACTGGAGAATTTTGGAGGTAGAGTGGAGTAGAGTAGAGCGCTAAACTGTATTAGGCTAGGGTTAAACCTTAATAAGAAACCACTAGGCCGAAAACACTTTCCAGTGGAATAGATTAGACCCCTCGCTCCACTCCACTCCAATCTAATAAGATCACTAAATAGGGGCAGCATATGTTCTAGGTATATTTGGAGGGAGACCTTGCGCCAGTACCTGGCTGGCTCGGTCTATATTATAGCGATAGAGGCACGAATAAGAAAAGCACGATAGACAGGCGGCAACAGACATGTAACAACAATAAACGGCCAAAAATAGCTAGCATATAACCGTCTATAGATGTTTCTAAAAGAGCGCTATATATTAAGTTAGTTAGGCATAGCGTAGAATATAATACAACTAACTGGATATCTAATACCGCGCTAAACGCTTATGCCAAAATACGTTGCGTACCCCCTTACGCGGATAAATCCGGAATATATCCTTCTAAGAGCTTAGTACTCTTAAAATTTAAATATATCTTTTTTTAACCTAAAACTATTAATTTAGTGCTCCGAATTTTAGAAATTTATAGATAGTTGTGGTGTAGCAGGGATACAGCGCTAATATAGTTCTAAATACTCTAAAAAAACGACTAATAGTATAATTAAAGCGATGTATTTTTTTGGCTGTATACTAATTTCCTAGGCAGAAATAGCTAAAAAATTACAATACACTAATTATAACTCGATAGAATCGCGAGGGGGAGAGTAAAATATCTAAGTAATATATTTCGTGCGGTATAGGGGGTTATGCGCTATATAAGGGGGGACGTTAGATACTCTAAAAGGAATAATTAGCGGTATAATTAAAAGTATTATATTTTTTTTTTGGCTGTATACTAGGGATAAATATATAAAGAAAATAGTGTACTAATTATAACTTAATAGAATCGCGAGGAAAAGTTAATATACCTAAATATAAGGGAAAAGTGCACAGCAGGGAGCTTATAGATAGAATTAACGATATTTATATATTAAGAAACAAATCCTTAAGGAATTATAATATATAGCCTAGGGCTATATATACCCCGGCCTAAGCGAGCACGTGACTTGCAGAGGCCTAGCAGGCTATACGCCTGCGCAGGTAAGCTGTATAAATTAGAAAGGATATATCTATATCCTATTTAGTAGCTATATACTATAGGTGCTCCGGTTACCTTATACTATATAAAAGATTTATTCCGGTATAAAGGGCTTTCTACTACCTAGAAGGGGCTTTACTATCTAAAGTGCTTAATTCGGGTAGAATATACTAGATTTCCATCGGATATAGCCTATATACACCTACTTCCAGGCCTGTTCTATACTATAGGTATCGCAAGTAGCTTTAGTTAGCTAAGATTCGGAATTTAAAACTTCTATTAAGCTATCTAAAAGTAGTCCTTTATTATATAGGAATTATTAACTGCATAATAATTACTATTACTATACTAATTAAATTTAGAGATACTAATTATTAACTACTGCCTTTAAATAATAGTATATTTATTATTAGGGTAGGTCCGGCAGTGCTTAAAGTATATCCAGTGGCGTTTCTTATTATTAAAGGGTGTAAACCGGCCGAATAGCAAGATAGGTTATATTATATACTGGCGACGCTAAAACCAAACGGCGTATAGGTAACATGTATAAAAGTTAAGGATTTAACAGCATATCCGGTAATTATTTTATACTTTGCGGTGGTAAGGCTTAGTATTCCTAATCCTATTAAGCCACTAAATTTAAGATAGATTATTGCTTTTAGTTAACTAAAAGAAGGCATACTAGAAGTTGCTAGGGTAGGATTTTTCTTATTAAGCTATAAGTCTGCTATAATAGTCCTACTTACTAAAATAACGCAGAGGTATATAGGTTTAAAGATATATATATTAGTCTAATATATCTTTATATAATACTAGGTCCGCATCTAAAGAAGAAAATATAGAAGTAATAGAGCTATCTAGCAGCTAAACGCTAGAAGACCGGAAAAGGGTTTTTTTTAAAGCCTAAATAGGATATAAAGATCTAAATACCTATTCCGGCTCTTAATAGAAGATATAAATCGGATACTTCTAAAGTGTAATTAATACTTAAGACCTTCTTTATAAGCAATTAAATAGCAAGCTATATTTTAGAACCTTTTATTAGTAACTTTATAGTCTAACGCAATAGTATAAACTAGTTAATATAGCCACGCAACTTCTTTCCCTTTCCCCTAAACCTATAGAGAGGTATAAAAAGCAGGAACCTTATAGTAGTACTAGTTTATTAGCCGGTGGCAATGCTAGCTTACTAGCTAGTAATACCAACTTATTAGCCGGCGGTAATACCGATTTATTAGCTGGCAATAGTACCGCTTTGCATGTAGAAGCTCTTATAAAGGAAATACTTAATATAGAAGATTAGGAGCCTTAGAAGATGCTTAGATTTAAGGATTAAAATTAAGATAAATAGATTATAATCTTAAGTAATTAAGCTTATATAGTTTTAGAGGGTAAAGGTAATAATATAGTAAAAGCTTTTAATAGTAAGTATAGCAACTTTGCAATAATTACAGACTAACTATTATTTAGAGCTTTTTAAGGCTGCACAGGCTATAGGTATAAATTATAAGATAGTATAGTTCTTTAAGCTAGTAAAAAGTATTATTAAAATAGATAACCTAAAAAGACTTCTTAGAGTTAAAGACGGAGATAATAGTTCGATAAAGCGTGAGAAATATATCTGTTAAGCCTATGCTATTATTAGCGTAATAGATATAAGGTGGGATAAAGTTCTTAATAGTAAGTAAAGCACTTGTTTTTATAACTTCTGCGTACTAACTATTATTAAGAACTTAATAAAGCTGCGAACGCCGAAGGCGTAGACTAGAAGTCTATTAACAATATCGACACTTTTTTAGGCGAGTTAGTAAAGGAGCTCCTCCGAGGAGAGCTTAATAATATAATAGAGACTAATAAAATTAACCTCCCTTCTTCTTCTGCGAAGATTATAGAGTTGTTAAAAGGCGCGATTCTATATATTAGAGACCTTATTAAAAACCCTAGTAATAGTTATCCTAAAGTATTTCTTCGGCTTATTAACAAGGATATTAATAAGGAAATAAAAAAGAAAATTAAGGAAATAATAGATAAAACAATAGATAGAACTAAAAGAAATATAATAGATAATTAATATAAAATTAATTATACCCGAATAAGAGATTGTATAAAGCGAGGCAAACCCTATATAAACCGCGCGAAAACTAATCCAGCTAATTAAAATACACTACTTTAGGCTTAAATAATATAAAATAGTCTAAATATAGAGGCTAAGTAAAAGCATTACCCTTAGAGATTTAATCTCTACCTTAAGCTTATAAAACTAAAGGGGTATAAAGTATAACTAAGCGAGAGCACCTAGTAAAGCTAAGCTAGACCTTTACTCCCGGGATTCTATAGCTATACTCTACTGCCTGGATATAAACTCTATAAAACTATAAATAGAAATCCTTCTAGTATTTTTAAATGCGGAAAAAATAGTAGAGGGATAACTTACTAATTCCTGCTTAAAAAAAAGTCTAGCAACAGCAGACGTGTTTTTAACTTAGTAGCAGCTAGTTTATTTAGCAAAGGAGCCGCAGTAAAATATAAGGCCGAGCCCAACGCTGTAGTATATAAGAAGGGTACTACTAATAACTTAGAGGGTAAAAAAGTCTCGGATATATAAATTAGTTAGGTAGGCTTTATTCTAAGAGATTAAAGTAGAAAACCTAAAGGCGGGTGGATATGCCCTCCCCGGACGTTAGTAGCAGTTAATTTTAACAGAAATCCCGAAAATATGTAAATATACTCTAGGTTAACGCTTTAGGCAAAATTTACCAAGAAAGAAATTAATAGGCAAATTCAAGACTACTACCGGCAAGCGGGATATAACGCCTTATAGAAAAAAAGATCTTTAAAAGTCTATATTAATAATAAAGAGGATAAAGAGGATAAAGGGTATATATCTCTAGGATATAAAGATACTAAGGTTGAAAGTATTGCTTCTAAAGCTAAAAAGGAGGGTAGTTAGCAGAGTAGTATAGAGGCTAAGGAGAAATATTTAATAACGGAGTTAGCTATACTTTATACTCGGTTCCGGAAATTAGGATAATAGAAGATATTAAAGCTATATTAATTATTTCTTACCTTCTTCTACTTCTATTTCAACACTTATTTTTCTAATATTTATTTAGTACTATAGACCCTTACGTTCTATTTTCCGCACAGTTATTCGTTATATTTCGCCTAGATCTTAACACTTATTTATTTCCTTTATTTTAATATTTCCTTTCCTCTGCTCTAAAGATTGTTCTCTTTAAATTAATTCTTTGCTTTAGCTCTTTAATTATTCGCTTAATACATGTTATATATTTCCTTATTTAGTAGTCTTTAGTATTAATACTCTAAAATAAACTGTATAAAGTACTTAATTATATGCACCCTAGTTATATTATCCTAACTTTTCTATCCAAATATATTCTTACCTTATATAAGGACTCGATAGGTAAACAGCAATTAGAAAGGGTTGCATTGCTACGCTATAGAAGTTGTAATATAAAGCGTGGTGTAGCGGCTGTCACGGTATTGATTATGGCCTCCCTCTAAGCATCAATCCCCTGACACCTTGTTGCCGCATACGTGCGCACGCGTGCGCCACGCGCCTGCCACCTGATTCCCGATTCTGTTAGGGCCACGCGCTATGTGCGAGCCCCTTTTCTCGTCCTGTATATAGCCTGGCTCCCGTCCCTAATTCAATTCGGCATCTT